AGCGGGTCTCTGCGCCGCGTCGGCCGCCCCGTGTGACGCGTGTGTGTCCCGCCGCAGGATCCCCTGGTTCCAGTACCCCATCATCTACGACATCCGGGCCCGGCCACGCAAGATCTCATCTCCCACTGGCTCCAAAGGTAAGAGCCGCCTCGCCGGCTCACACAGGAGGCCCTGGCAGCACTGGGTGGGGGGCGAGCCCAGCCGGGGTTGTGGCCCTGCTTGTCTCCCTTCCTTGCAGACTTGCAGATGGTGAACATCTCCCTGCGTGTTCTCACGCGCCCCAATGCTGCTGAGCTACCCAGCATGTACCAGCGCCTGGGCCTGGACTACGAGGAGCGAGTGCTGCCTTCCATTGTTAACGAAGTGCTCAAGAGCGTGGTCGCCAAGTTCAACGCTTCACAGCTCATCACTCAGAGAGCCCAGGTGACTCTTCGGAGAAGACTTATGTTCAGATTACAAAGGAATATCTAAACGCTGCATGTGGGAAATGTTGTAGCAGATAAAGGATAGCTATGTTTTAGGCTGCTGGCAGAAGCATCCAAATGGGAAGGATGTGCAACTGTGTCCTGCTTACAGTTTGATTCCAATAGAGGTGCAAACACCAATTTTGTAGCACTAGGTTATGGGAAGAAAAGTGGATGCTCAGTGTAGAGATGGGGAAAAAAGCGCTATGGTGTAGCGATGGGGGAGGGAGAGCTGACTTAGACCAGACTCCACAGGTATTAGCAGAACTGGCTTTAAAAAATGGTTACCTTGGCCCTGCATGGGCCTCAGAAGAGCTGTCAAAGCAAATTTAAACAGCTCTAAAGGATCTGGAAAGATAGATGAGCTGCTAAGAAAATGATAACCTTTCAGTGATGGACAGTGCTGTTTCAGAAAACTAACAGATAGCAAATGTTTCTGTTTTTGGAAAAAGTTAAAAGTGTAACCAGGATGGTTGCAAAGTGATAGAAATAATTAAAAACAAACAAAAAAAAAAACCCTACCCCTGAAATGTCATGTTCTGAGAGCTTGACTGTCAAGGATTCTGAGAGTAGCTGCCACCTGCCCCTGCTGAGGAGATGTAACTTGCTGATCTTACTTAGATTCCTTTTAATAGGTTTTAGAGAAGATCTACTACTATAGACGGTAAGTTGCCAGGAGGATGAAATACAAAGCATCTCTTAACTGTTTTCTGATCCGTGAAAACAAAGAGCAGGACTGGTTGGCCAGATCTTGTCCAGATAATTGATCCATACCAGGGACTTCCAGGTTCTGTCCTAGGCCGTATAATGTGCACTGAATAAATTTGTTATGAATCTTGTGTAAGGAGAGTGAATGGAAAGGGAGAACGTAAGGAAACAATGTCGGCAGTTGATTTAGATTTATCAGAAGCAGTGAAGACTGTTAGATTATCTCTGAAACTTCTGAACAAACAATTTTATTTCCTCTCCTGTCATAAATTCAGCCAATGCCGATGACTGTGAAGTGATGAATATTGAAGCCCTTGATACTGAGAAGGAAATGAAGTGACTTTACATAGTTCTTTGCTCACAGTTCACTCAGTAAAGCATTCTGGCACTGCTTTAGAATTCTGCTCAGTGAAGAGCTGCAATAAAAGTGAAAACAAATCCTAGAACGGTCAAGGATGTGATACCGTAGCAGTAACTTCCATTTAAATCCAACGTTTTGTCTGGGACTTGTCAGCCTGTCTGAAAAAGGTACTGGCAAACCCAAGGCAACTCGGAGATAAGCAGAAGAAATCAAAAGATCTAAAGACTCCTCTCCTACAGAGAGATTAGAAAAAAAATTGAGTAGCAACAGTAGATAAGAGATGTGTCTTTGACATATGGCAGTGGGGAGCAGGATTTCTTATTTTCTTCGAGTATAAGGATGAGACAGTCAAACCCAGAACAATGACATTCACGGTGGAGAGATAAATACTTGTTGTGAAAACACATGTGGGAGCTGTGGAACTAGATGTGGCAGGCTGTGGAAACAAAACACTTTCAAGAACGTTCTTTTATTTTTGCAATGTTACTTAATTGTAATAGTTAATAATTATAAATAAACTATATTTGCTTTTAAGAGCTTTCTAAATAGCTATGAATATGCAGATTTTCTTAAGAGATGACAAATTCAGGGACAGATATTAATGTCTGTGTTTCGGGGGTTTGTTTTAGGTAATCCTTCCCTCAGGGCCAATGTGAGTGAATTGTGAGGGGCAGTTGTGCTTCTGTTTTGGAGGGCACAGGAAGCAAGAAGTAGCCTCTGTGTGGTATTCTTTTTTCCATATTTGTGTTTCAGGTGTCCCTGCTTATTCGACGAGAACTGACAGAGAGAGCCAAGGATTTCAGCCTCATCCTGGATGATGTGGCTATCACAGAGCTAAGCTTCAGTCGTGAATACACAGCAGCTGTGGAAGCTAAGCAAGTGGGTGAGTTCAATTTACACCTAGAAAGGGTGAATTTCCTTTGCATTTCTGCTGAATTATTGAACAAGAAATCTGAATTTGGGCTAGTGTCTCTGTGCTGTTGCATGGACACAATTGCAAAGTTGTAGATTTTGGCTTCCTTAGTAATGTCTAACCAGGTTATTTCACGAGTATCGTCAGAAAACGTTGGGTCATTGCTAATGGGCTGGAACATCAGTTGGACTGACTTCCCAAAGCTGTAGAGGTTCCTCTTCCAAACTAGGACTATCACAACGGGGATTATGTTTAGAGGGTGCTGTCATTGTTGGTTAGAAAAAAAGTACCCTCAGATATGTTTCCTAGTTGCGAGTATGGCTCCTGAATGCTATCATTTCCTTGGGAAGCATGAGCCACCAGGCCTCATCTGTGGGATTCTGCTGGAGGGTTTGGGAGGATAGGATCTTCTCTGAATGCTTTTGGTTGTTCCCTGTACAGCCCAACAGGAGGCACAGCGCGCACAGTTCCTGGTGGAGAAGGCCAAGCAGGAGCAGAAGCAAAAGATTGTTCAGGCTGAAGGGGAAGCTACAGCTGCCAAGATGATATCCATCTTTGGGAGACTTTGTGGGAGGTGGTTTGTGAGACTGACAGTCCTGAGAATCTGTTGCATTATTAGGTTCACGTTTAGGAGACCGATGGGATGACACGAGATCTACTTAAAGCTATATTTTTTTCCCCCTGCAGTCAGCTGGAGTGGGATTACAGGTCAGAGCAGAGTAGGCCATGAGCTTGCACTCCCTGTTGTAAGGTTTAATGCTTATTGGCTGTTTGTGACCATAACCCTGTTGTTCTTCATATGGGTAAGTAAAAATATCCCTACCCAGAGGTGGAAGTGATTGGGATCATTTTTCTCAAGATATTTGATGATGTGGTTTAGAAAGAATTCCTTGAGGATGGAGGGGCTTCTGCTAGCAGATTTTTCCTTAACTTGTGCTCCTCTGTACCTCGGTGAAGCTCTGAGCAGGAATCCAGGCTACATCAAGCTACGTAAGATCCGAGCTGCTCAGAACATTTCAAAAACGGTAAGTAGCGGGGCACAGAATTTCTTTCTTCCTCCTGCGTTTCCTTGTGCTGCCGCTCCCAACCCAGTGGCCACATGATGATTTTAAGGCGAATGTGACTGTCCTGTCCTGACCTTTGTCCCTGCTGAGCCCTTCTCTGCTCAAGAAGAGCGTAAGGCTTAGCCAGCAGTGATCGGCAATTAGATGTGAGGCTACGAGTTCATGCTGTTCACATGACAAGGCCAGATCCACATCAGATTCTATCACCTACATCCAGCTGCAGCTGCCAAAAGCTCCTGGTTTCCTGCAGACTGATGAATGGGGAACAGATAAGCCTGGGGTCAAAGATCTGTCTGACAGGGAGAAAGAATGAGCACTCCTTAATAGAAAGTCTGATGGCACTGGAATGGGAAGTCTGGACATGACAAAGCCATTTTTGGGAATTGTGTTGACTTAGGTAGAACCGTAAGCAAATACAAACAAGACTGGATAGGCACTCTGAATTGAAATGTAAATATATATATATAGTGTTAACGGCTAAATTGTTAGTCCCCTGGTTCAGTTATCTAAAATAGAGACCTATCATGCAGAAACTTCTGTTCATATTAAATGTGCTTAAACACAGTTTGAGCCTAAATGGGGAGACAGGCCAATTCTGCTTCATAGGGGGTTCTTTTTCATGTTATTCCCTCTCCCCTCACTGGCAAAGTCCTAAGCAGGATCAAACATAACGTTCACAAGTGCAAAGCCTGCACTATGATTCCACATTGTGTCTGGAGGGGAGACAGATTCTTTATTAATGCCCTTCCTCCTTGTTTCTTTAATACTTGTTTTATATAACCTCTGTCATGGATTTCTCTTTCAGATTGCTGCTTCACAAAACCGTGTGTATCTCACAGCAGATAACTTGGTGCTGAACCTGCAGGATGAGGGCTTTACCAGGTAAAGGGGACGGAGGGCTGTTGTGGGTAGATTTTGTTGTGGGTGGATTTACCTGCACCTTACCTGTGAAGCTGGTTCCCTTTCTGGAGCTCTCTCAGGATCTTTCCTCTGAGAAGACTCTGATGCCAGAGGATAGAGCCAAGTTGGGAGCAGTCTTGCTTACTGCAAAAACCTAAGAGCGTGTTAAATCTAATTGTTTTACTTTTTTTTTTTTTTTTCTTCCCTTCTTCCCCTTAATGCATCCCTGCTGCACAGAGGAAGGTAAGGCACTGATTTTTATTTTGATTTTTTTGTGAGTACTTGGAAAGGGAGGGTGCATGTTTGTCTGGAGCCTGGGATGTTGCTGTCTTGGACCTTTCTGGGCATTAGTTCATTCCGTCTCTATCTCAGCGCTCGTTTGTGATGTGAAACTTGCATCCCTTCCTTGCAGAGGCTACACAAACATCTGCATCAATTAGCAGATGTTCAGGAACTGGGGCTGTGTGTCCTGTGAAGAACCTTGCGTAGGGAAGGCAAGAGTAGTGAACTGAAGAGTGTCCTTTGATTCGTTCTGCGTATAGGGTTAACAGAGGGCTGCAGACTGGCAGTTAGTAGGAAATCTTCTTGTCTCCTTGTTATCACTAACTCTCCAAAAGCTTTCCAGTCCATGCCAGCGTACTTCATTCCCTGCTCTCATAGCTGGAGGGAGTTTGGCTTCTGCCTAATCTGTCCAGTGTTTACAGGACGAGGCAGTGCCAGCCAAGTCAATAGTATGCAGCTGAAAGTTTAAAATAAAGAGAGGAAGTCAGAGATGGTTTCTTTTCCATGGCATCTCTGGTTGCCTGTTTGATCATGTTTCATCTTATTCCTCTCAGCAGGCTTAAGGGGTTTTGAAATAGGCATTTATTAACCAAGGTTGAAGCCCAAATCCTTTGGGTTGGCTCCCAGTCCTGCAGTAAGGGTCTGGCTCAATTTTGCCTGTGCTTTTGGGACTAATGACTCATTTCTGTCTCCCTTTCAGTGACAGTCTCCTACTCAAACAAGGGAAGAAATGAAAGAACTAAAGCTTCCTAGAACCACTGGCACTGACCAGCAGAAGATGCCTGTGAGGAGCTTTGAATTCCTTCTACTAGCATCATTTGCCCTCGTTTTGGAATCCTTAATCCAGTAGCTGGGTTCGGTTCTCCTGCCCCAGCTCGGTCTGTGGTGACCTAGCTATGGGATTGGGCTTTACCACTGGGCAGCTGTAATCCCTTCCTTACCCCACCAGATAAATTTACTTACTGGTATGAGCCCATGTGGATCTAGTAATTCACCTCTAATCTTCACTGATGTTTAGATTTCTATACAGTAGACTCAGACCTTCTTTTTTTTTTTTTCTTTCTCTCTCTCTCTTTCTCTCTTTTTTTTTTTTTTCCCCCCAAGTCAGTGAGTTCTGCTGCCATCACCACCAGGCTTTTTTCTAGTAAGTCTTGTTTTTCTTTCCCTCCTGATCACAAGAGAACCTGAAGCTAAGCTCAAGAAAGTGTAATTAACTGGGCACCTGTAACTGCTGGAAAACCTATTTGTGTCACTATCTACTCAGTGATTCTTTCAAACATTTGTAAAAATTAAAACAAAAAGAAATTATTCTATGTCCAAGCATGCTCAGTGGCTGAAAGAGGTATATGTTATTTTGTGGGACCCAGCTTTCATTTGGTTGCAAGCAAAATCAGGATGCTATGGGAAAGGAGCAAGAGAAATAGCCTCTTGTTCATTGACAGATCACAGGGTGGGGAGATGTTGAGCAGGTGTAGATGCTCGTACCGTACGGCTGCATGGATGACCGGGGCCAGTTTCTTCTAACCTGCCTAACAGATGCTGAAGATGAGCTTAGATTTACCTGTTTTTATGCCTTGCGCCAGCATGTACTTACTGTGTCCTGGGCTCTATTGTTGCAGCTCTTTTTTTCTCCACTTACCTAGCCAAAAACATGGGAAAATCTTTCTCTGCTAGTTAAATTCTCTTCTATGCTTGGCTTTCACAGGCAAAATGTTGTCTGCCTCAGGGATAACTATTTCTCTGACTCACTAGGCTGCCCTGTACCAGATTTAGGATCTGGAGCTTTCACACAGAAAACTAGGAAACTCCAATGTAACCTCTCCAAGGAAGAAGGGAGGCCATTAGGGGACCTCTTATGCTTGTGAAGCAGAAAGCAAAGAATTCCACTGAGGCCTGTAAACCTGTTGGTGTTGTAGGGCTTTGGGGAAAGGTTAGGCTGACCGTTGGCATGCCTTGCTTTCTGCTGTGGCTGCATTTCAGAAGGAGGTGAATTGCACCCTGTCCACCGAAGCTAGCCAGGAGCCTAAAGCAAAAGGAGGCATTCCCTGAGAGTAAGTCTGTAGCCTCAGTGCTCAGAAGAGGATATGCGGCACTGGTCAGAGGTGGGACGCAGTATAGGGCCACAGGTTTCAAGTTTTACCTCTTTGTCCATTGTTTCCCTAGTAACCATTTCTTGTGTCTAGTTTCTTAGCAATAGAGTTGCAAAGCCAGCTGGTGAATGCACAGGCTTGTTAGCTCACTATAAGAGAGGCTACACGCTTTCCATGAGCTGGGCTTTGAAGTACCATCTTCTATCTTTCCAGCACTTCTAGACAAGTTTGCTTGTCACATCAAATGATAGTGCCCAGTGTCCTTGCTCCCAATTTACTGTTGCTCAGCTATGTGTCTCCAGCAGAGGTGGCTTTCTCAGCCATGTGCTCCACAACCAGCTATGTCTGGATTTCCACTGTGGCGGTGTTTCTGCCATTGCTTGCTTGAGGCAGAGCCTACAGTTGTGAAGAGGCAGAATTTCCCCCAGTATGCACAGGACGCTGTGTGGTACTTGTCCCTGATGCTGTAATCTATCCCCAGTAGCTTTCCTTGCCTGTAGGCTAGACAAAAGGTGAAGTTGCTTGTTCTAACAATGGGGTGGATTCTTCTGTATGTGCATTATTAGTGTGCCTGTGTCATACGCTATTGGCTTGAGGGAAGCTATTGTGTATGTTGGCATGGCTCAGTCGGTCCAGAATCCACGCTGCTTGTCCGCTCCTTTGCACGCGGATAAATCTTGCTTGGGCTCTGTTCATGCATTTGGCACCAGATCAAAGCAGGCAGCTTAGCCCGAGTTGCTTAACTGCATCTTTGCCCATCATCTTGTGACTCCCTGGTCAATGGGGGAACTTTCCTCATTCAGTCCAAGAGCCTGAGTGTGGGCATATGCTCTGCGATGGTGTGTGGTTAAAAGGATGTGGTTTTGTCTGCTTCTAGCTTGTTTGTAGCAAGTGGTAGCTGCTTCACATTACCAGCTGCCAGACATGTGCTTCACACTTCCAGTTTTACAAGCTACATGGATCAGAGTTCAAGGTATGCCTCATTCTTCCTTTCTGCCCACCCCATCCCCAAAATCTGGATTTGTAGTTTAAGACTGAGAGGAAAGGACCTGAGTCCTGGGGTCCCTGCAGCGAAGCATGGGAAAATTAGAGCTAGACTTTGAAGGTGTTCAGCATGTTCCTGTGTCAGACAGCTGAAAGCTACTGATTATTCAATTCCCTGAATCCTCTTTTCTTCCCAGACAGGGCCTATGTTTGTCTCAGACCAGATGAAATCATCTGTCCCAAATTCCTGAGCTATCCTAGTCTGGGTCCTAGGCCGCTTTGTCAATTTTAGCGCAGTCTTCTTCCAAGACTTCCCTTCCAGCCATCAGCTCTAACCCTGTCCTAGCCCCAGCCACCTAATCCATCTTTTTCTATGAATATCAAACATCCACAGCTTAAGCAGTGTCTTTACTTGCATTTTAAAGGGTCTCCAGCATGTTGCTTGGGCTCAAAGCCGACCAAATGCCATGAAAGGTTCGGGTGTGCACTGTTGAGCTGTGACCATATCCAAACCATCTCAGCAGTGTCTCAAATGATTCCTAGTTACAGGTCCCAGGCTGGGGCCTAGTTTTAATTAGCAAGGCTTTAAAAATCAGACCGAGGTCCGTTCTAACACCAGCAAGGATGAATTGCCAGTGCTCAGGGGTGCTTTCTGGCATTCACAGAAGTAGTGGTGGGAATGCCACATTGCAGTGACGGCACAATATAGCCAGGCCCTGGTCCGTTTTCTCTATAAAGATGAAATTGCAGTTCTGCCCCCTGATGCATGGGAAAGAATACTCAGGCACTGCAGTTCATTATTGTTTGCTGAAGCAGCACTTAATCATGACTTACTGTCCAAGTCAGTTGAATGCCACCGAAGACAGATGACAAAATGACCATGGCCTTGGGAGGGAAAATAACTTCTCCAAATACCATAATTTAGGTGCAAAAGCCTACTCCTGAGCTTTTCACAACTAACTTTCTGTGCTTGGACTTACCTGCTAACTACCAGCACTCAAAAGCCACACAGCCAGTAGCCACCATAATTAATGGCTTCTGTTAAGGAGACTGAAGGTTGCAGGAAGACAGGAAAATTAAGCTAAGAGCCATTCTTGTAAGCCTCTGCAGGGCTGTAAGTGAAGTCAAGAGAGTGAGTGAGTGTGTGTGTGTGTGTGTGTGTGTGTGTGTATATATGTATGTATAAAAAGAATAATTATGGAGAAAGCTTTAGGGACCTAGCATTCAAACAAATACACATTTATTTACAGACAAAGAAGAAAACATAGCCATCATATCAAATTCTAGTATATTTACATTATCCAAGGAGCAGACAGACAAAAGAACATGGTATGGAGGGTTAGGGTTAAGGAAAAAGGAAGTTTTCTGTTGAATCACTGACAAGTTGGAAGTAGCCAAAATGCCAGACTTTAAAAGATGAGGCTTCAGGGAGCCAGAACACAAACAGGCTAAACCCCAACTCACAGCAGTGGGTGGAGATGTAGCTCCTATAAAGTTCTTTCTGCTAGAAGAGCAGGAGCTGAAGCTGACACAACAGAGGTGAGTCTGGCCTCCAGTGCTCAGAGAGAAATGGAAAGACGGGATGTGATTTTTCCTGTTAATGAGTGATGAAGGGGCAGGGGGAGACTTAGCTGGCCTGCCCAGGCAAGGGATAAAGAGGGCAGTCAGCTGAGCTGGAAAGCAGCATGGTTCATAGCATTGAAAGATTGCATGGAAGAAACACAGAAGGTCTAGTTCCAGTCCAAGAGAGGGATGTGAGACAAGGTAGCCTGGACATGAGCTCCAGTCCTGTACCCCAGGTTCAAAACCTCAAGGGGCTACCTGCAACTTATGTTTATTTTTTCTTTAGTGAACCTTTCAGTTTCTTCTCTGAGGAGCGCTGTTTCCTCACCTTCTCCTCCTTCTTCCCCAAGTTCTCATAAACCGTTGACTCCTCTTTCTGCCTATAAGACCACGTAAAAAAGTGAACAGGAGCAAAAAGCTAGCCAAGGCAGTAGGGAGACCATGGCAAAAAGCATCTGGCTTAGGGCAGCTCTTACTTGGAGGTTTTTCGTGTGGCCTTGGCATGCATGTTCCTCACAGCGGGCGGGTAGGTGATGTTGCCATATTCAGACTCGTTGGGCTTCCCTTTCTGAGCCTGCAGGAGAGAAAAGCTAAGCTAAGAAGAGTGAGGTCTGGGAGAAGCAGGAAAGATATCATGGAAGAGTTACAGCTGTTACCAGTGCATCGTTCTGGGTGAAGGTGGGTGGACTGCAGAAGTCCTCAGGCTCTTGGTGCACTCTACCCACTGCTATCACAGAAGGGAGCAGTAAGACTGCTAATGCCTCCTTGTACGTAGGTGAGTAGTGGGGCAACTAATTTCTAGAGGCGCTGGCATGTCCGATAGTGCTATGTGTCAGCTAAATAAAGAATATTAAGCAGCAGCTGGTGGATGCTGCCAGAGGCTACATACAGGTAGAGCTAAAAGATGCCACTTAGCTAGTAGGAGAAAAGATTTCCTACCCTTTCCACAAGGGTTTGGGGGGCAGCTACAGAACCAGGATGGGAAGGACGAAGAGGAAAGGAGAGAGCAAAGTCTATGCCTGTCTTCGATTCAGCTTGTAACTAAACAGCACTTGGTGGAGAAGTTACACAGAATGTGGTTGACATAACTGCGCTAAAACCTATTGCTGTTTAGTTATTCAGAAGGGACTGGGACTCGAGCTACCACTATTGTCCATTGAATTTTAAAGGGTGAGGAAGGGAGTCAAATCGCAGTGCACCGTCACAGTCTGTGCAGGTCCCAGTGATAGCTAGAGCCTTAGGAAGCACTTGGGCTCAGAGCCAGCACCATGCAGGGCACAGATGCATAGGGTGGGAATGTAGAGTCCCTTTTCTCACCTGGATGACTTCCAGCTTTTTCTTGGTGGTCTCTATGAACTGGCAAATGGCCATGTAGATGAACTTGTATTGGGCCTCTGTCTGCACCATCCCTGAGCGCTGGGCCCTCACCATCTGGATGGTCTTCTGGATGTCGATGTCACAGTCCAGCCCTAGCAGGGGGCACCAGAAATGTTTATGGGCATGTTTGCTGACCCCTCCCCTCTCCCATTCTCCATCAAAAGCAGGCACAGGGGAGCTCAGCTGGGAGCTCTCCACTGCCCTTCATGCTCTTTACAGGAGTCCTCTCATCCCTCCTTCCTGCTCAGCATCCTTCAGACCTGGTCCTGGTTGAAGAGCCCATGCTCAGAGAAAGCTAAAGCTACAGTGAGTGGATACAGTTCAACTGTGCAGCAGCACAGGATCTCTCCCATGTTTTCAGCCCCTGCAGCGGGTCTAAGGGCACAACCCTGCTGGGTCAGTCCATTTCAGGACACTGCAAGGGCCTCTTACCCTTGGTGGAGATTGTTTCCACTATCATATCAATGACGATGATAGTCCCGGTGCGGCCAATCCCAGCACTGCAAGAAGAGGACAAGCAGTGGTCAGAGTTGCCTTTACTAGGGTATCTACACCCACCCAGCTAGGTGTGAACCAGGGTCCTGAAGCAAAATGCAGCTGCTTCTGGGAAGGAGGCAGCACTTATAACAGCTGTTCAGCAATGCCACAAAAGAGTAAAGGATGCAACGGGCACCCTTTGTTTGGGGATGTCAAAGAGGGAAAAGGAAATACCAGGGCTGGCAGGTGCTTCACTCACAAGTCCTGGGGAAATGAGTGGTGCAACAGTATAGAGACTTTCTATGTCTCACCATATAAGAGGGATGGAGAGGGCTTCAAAACCCAGCCTTTGTACCCACCTGCAATGCACCAGAATAGGCCCAGCATTTGGGATACTCTCCTGCTTCTGGTTGATTTGATCCAGGAAGCTGAGCACTCCTCCTGGTTCACTGGGAACGCCATGGTCAGGCCAACTCAGGTATTGGTAGTGCCAGATCTCACGTGTAGTCTTACCCTGATAATAACAGAACATCCCACTAGCAAAGCTACAGCCCAGTCCTGGCCTCTGTCCTAGGAGAGGTGGATCTGAAGCCAAAGGGAATCTCTTGCTCCTGTTCACTCCTTGGTCCTGTCAAATGACCAACCCAAGCCAGGTGAAATGTGACATCAGGAGTAATACAGCGGCAGCATCACCACCGCACCCAGCAATTCCCAGCCTAGGACATACAGCCTCTGTTAGACCCACGGGCACCCTGACAAACCCTGGCTTAGCACACTCACGTCATTTATCGGCCACACACAGAGTTGCCGGAGTTTGTACTCCAATGCATCGTGTTCCCCAGCATTCTCCACAAGGTAGGAACCATATTCTTTTGTGCTGCCCACCTCTGGCCAGTAGGGCACACATTTGGTCTGTGCAGACAGAGGAGGGAGACAGGATGAGGATGGGGAGAAGGAGAGGAAGAGAGAAAGAAAAGAGCAGCAGTTGAAGGACATAAGAGCGCAGGCCCAAGACAAACAGCTGCAAACAGCTACTTACCCGTCCTTTTTCTACTTCCCGTGTGGTCATCACAATAATGCGCGTGTTCTCCTGCCACACCATCTGCCAGAAGTCATTGACTGTGGCATCCAGGCAGCCTTGGCTGGCAATGTAGGTCTTGGTGCATTCATCTGGGCTGATCAGGTTGTTCTGTGGGTGGATTGGGAAGAGCAGGAGGGCTGCAGTGATCAGGCAACCCCTTCTCCCCAGTTCAGACATATAGCCATCTTTGGCAAAGACTCACCTTGACATAGTTGGCATTGATATAGTCAGATCCAGGGATCTTTGGATCCCTTCCTTGGAGGATGACTCTGGAGTGATCGACTGGAGTTGCAGTGAAAGAATCAACAGTGCAATAAGCGTAATGAGCTGTGCTCTGCTCTGCTCTGTGGAGCTCCTTCCCTGCCCCACGCCACCTCATTCACATTACCCAGTGCATGCATCCTGCCACATATTTTCATCTCTCCTCCTCTGGGGGTCAGACCAATCTCACACATCTCTCTCTCTCTCTTCCACTGAGCCAGACCACACTACCAGCAAATAAGACTGATGCGTCCCTCCCTCCTTCAAGGGTATGGAAAGGCTGTGACCTCTCCAATCAGCTCCTAAATCCCCAATGCTGCACACCTTGTAACCTGTCCCCACTCTGGAGGATAGAGCAGGCTGAGGCAGAGCCAGCGATATCTTGGACAGCTCTTCATCGCATCTGTCTCTATTTGCCCTTTTTTTTTTTTTTTTTTTTAAACAGTGGTGAAGCAAGACTCACAGGGCAAGATGTTCTTGTACCGGTTCTTGCTCTTGTTCTCAGGTCTCTGACCTTCATGACGGTCATACAGGTGCTTGGCTTCCTGTTTTTGCAGGCTCTGAGAGCAGAACAGAGAGCAATCATGACAATCTGTGACAGGGGAGATGGGGGGACTCAGAGGAACAGTGGCAACTCTGAGGCTACATGAACATGCTTCTAGGGGAGCAGAGAATTGAAAAGTAAACCTAGACTAGAAAAGTCCAAGGTTCATGGCCTGACCCTGGGTGACTGGTCTCCCATCCATGAAAAAGCACATTTCTACCTCACTAGGTTCACTTCAAGATTATACTCACACCCTACCGGAACAGGATCCAAACAGAATTTTTTCAGAGAGAGAATGACAAGAATTGACAGGACTGCCTAAGAAATGTGTGTCTAGGACGAAATTACAGATGGAGAAGAGGTGGTGAGCAAGGACTTCCCAAAAAGCTGTATGACCATCCTCCACCACAGTTGCTTACATCAAATTCCTCCCAGAATCCAGCCTTGGATGTTTCCTCAGCCAGAATCTTCTTGTTCAGCTCCAGCACTCTATTCTCAATGTCAGCAGCATTCACCCTAGTAGCGTAGTAGGGCTGGGAAAAAGAGAAAGGGTTGTCATGAGAGATAGATGCTGCTGGAGAGTCAAGTCTCCTCTGTGTGCTCTGCAGAAAAGGAAGGGAGGGACACAAAGCAGAAACCAGCAGCAAGTGGACCCTTCCAAAGGATCTCTGAGTTGAGGAAACAGGATTTACCTGCTTTAGGTACACAAAGGAGCCGGAAACCTCCTCAATCCCAGTCTTCTTGAAATGCTCCACCAGCTCTGCCAAGCTGTCAAACACTTCAGCACCTCCAACTGTGTAGCGTCCATTCTGAATAGAGAAATAATGCGTTACATCCTATAACATTCCTACAGCCAAATCTGACAATGCTTAGGGAAAAGGTAACACTGGAGTACAAAGCACTAGCACCGCTCTGTGCTATCTGGAAGAGTGTTTTCTCTGGCAAGGAGGTCAAATAGTAGTTTGCCCTGAGAATGTTAAGCTCATAACATGGCGAACTGACTCCTCTTCTCCTGAGTGGATAGAAACCCAGAGATACGTTCAGCTCTCATTTAAGCTCAATCATCTGCCCTGAAATTCTCCTCCACTCCCTGCATCATTCCACAGGATAAAGATAGGAGAACTTGTGACAGACAGGTTGGTAACATCCTCCAGACTAGGTATGGAGATCCTGCAGATTTCTCTCCTCCTCCAAAAGTTTTTAACCTCTTCATCTCTTTCATAAGCTCATCATTAGACTATGAATCCTTCTCTCTCCTTCACCAAACACTCCCTGTGCTAGAGTTTTCAGACACACCTAACCTTCTTTCCTCCTGTGTTTGAGCACCCAGCATTGCCCATGGGCACCCTGTCCTGAGCAAGGACATAAGAAACCTGCAAGGTCATTGCTCTACTTCAATTTCACAGACACTCTTGGCAGTAATCAAGCTCCCCCATGCTTTTAGGGACATGATCAGCAGAGACAGGCAGAGGCCTCTTCCTCTCCCTCTCCTTTTCTCCTTCTACCCTGCTCACCTCACACATGATCTTGATGTGGGTGACTTTGAGCCGGGGCCCAGAGGCACTGGTTGTCCCAGCTGATGCAGCATCGGACCCAGGTTTAAGTTGGTCAGTCAGAACAGACAGGACAAAATCCCCAGGTTTGCTGAGACTCTCCCGCACTAAGAAGGTCCAAGGGGTGGCCTTGGTCTGGAGCAGTGACTCAGCTGCAGGGCCAGACAGATGGCCATGGTACCACCTACAAAAAAACAAGAGCAGAGCAGAAGAGAGGTGGAGATGCAAATAGGTGGATGCCCTTGAGCTGAGGAGCGAGGGGCAGCAACACTAGGAGAGGGGAAGGAAAGAGAGAGACAGAGAGAATGAGAGAGACAGAGAGACAGAGAGAGAGGGAAACCAAGTGAGGAGCAGGATCCTGCACCTTGGGAGGAATAACCCCATGCACCAGTGCAGGCTGGGGGCTGACCTGCTGGAAAGCAGCTCCTCAGAGAAGGGAGCTGGGAGTCCTGGTGGACAACAAGTCGATCATGAGCCAACAATGCGCCCTGGTGGCCAGGAGAGCCAATGGTATGCTGGGCTGCATTAGGCAGAGCGTCGCCAGCCAGGTGGAGGGAGGTGCTCCTCCCCCTCTACTCAGCCCTGGGGAGGCCACGCCTGGAGTACTGTGTCCAGTTCTGGGCTGCCCAGTACAAGAGAGACATGGCACTACTGGAGAGAGTCCAGCGGAGGGCTACCAAGATGATTAGAGGACTGGAGCATCTCTCCTATGAGGAAAGGCTGAGAGAGCTGGGCCTGTTCAGGCTGGAGAAGAGAAGACTGAGGGGGGGGGGGGAATTGGCTGAATGTGTACAAAAATCTGAAAGGGGGGTGTCAAGAGGATGAGGCCAGACTCTTCTCAGTGGTGCCCAGCGACAGGACAAGAGGCAACGGGCACAAACTGAAACGCAGGAAGTTCCATCTGAACATGTGGAAAAACTTCTTTCTGTGAGGGTGACAGAGCACTGGAACAGGTTGCCCAGAGAGGTTGTGGAGTCTCCTTCGCTGGAGATATTCAAAAGCTGTCTGGACGTGATCCTGTGCAATGTGCTCTAGATGACCCTGCTTGAGCAGGGAGGTTGGACTAGATGGATCTCCAGAGGTCCCTTCCAACCTCAACCGTTCTGTGATTCTGGGACCAGGCAGGCAGAATGCTGTTAACACAGGACAAAGGGGGAAAGCACCAAGTGGGATTCAGTTGTGTGATACACAAACACACAGGTAAGCAATGTTTGCTAGCTTGAAGACCCAACTGGGGGAGGGTAGCCTGTGGGATTCAGCACCTCCCAGCATGGGCAGGCTCCATAGATTCCAGCCTTACTGCTGCAGGATGCTTTTGAAACTCAGACACTAAGGAAACAAAAATAAATGCCCAGTGAGTCAGAAACTCTCCCACCTGATTTAGCAGCACCCAGATT